CGAGTTCAACTATTTTTAATTAAAAAATGACTTCGATTGTTTGTTGTTTTTGAGCTCAACAAACGAGTGAATGTTGTTTTCGATTTCTGTCAGGTGTTTTGAAAAAAGGAACTTTTTTTTCGCTGAGGGTTAGTTTTAGGACAACTATCTTGCTTCAACTTTGTCAGATATATCATATTCAGTGAGTTATAAAAGTCTTCAATTGGAAACAAAGCATATCAGCTCGATTGAACATAGTCGCTGGAAATAATGAGAGGCAAAAAACTCGCGATATTTTTTACCTTTTGTAGCCAAATATCTCACAGAAGGAAGTGTGATGAAAATTAGACCCTATCATGGCTGTTGAGGTACAACTTGAGATCAATCTGATTTGAGATTTACAAATTTTATTCGAATGAGTTTTTCGAAGGTGCTGGAAAGGAGAGAGCTGTCCTTTATATAAATAAATTTCATTTATTGTCTGTGTTTATTGATCATCTAGATATTTTTACGCTTCGAACAAAATGGCTACTTATTCTCAATCGACAGGAAAATTTACTACCTCTGATGGTACTTCGTATACTGGCTATTCTGGTAATGGAGAGGGTTTAAATAATTCTGATAAAGAATCTGAAGCATTTGTTGGTCCGATTCCTAAAGGTGAATACACAGTGGCCGGTACAAATACGTCCAAAGGTCCTACGACATTGGTGCTAACACCAGCTGCGTCGAATAAGATGCATGGCAGAAATGGCTTTTTGATTCATGGTGATAATAAGAAAGGCGATTACTCAGCGTCAGAAGGTTGCATTATCGTTGGACCAGAAGCACGTAAAAAAATAAAAGTTGGCGATAAAATTGTAGTCACTCAGTGAAACAATTGAGACTACGCAACTCAACAAACTGATCGAACTAATAATTCTGATATATTAACCAAGACAAAATTTCATACGATTCCTAAGATTATTACAGATCCTATAATAATATTTGTTCTTGATCGTTACGAAAATTGAGAAATAAATTTTATCCATTGCAGACATTTGCTAAGTCATTCAATTCTTGCGGAACAGACGCAATAATGATTTTTCTCTCGCCTGAACCACCATATGGGTAGATGTAGGGTGTTTGCATTGGAGTGAGTATTGCCTTGACCACAACCACAATCCGTCAAACATAACTTACATGAGTCACACAATAAGTCACTGTTTTCTTATTCAACTTGCCGTCAGGGTGTGGGTGGGTGTGGGGTGTGGGTGTGCCCATGCAGACAGATAAATGGCAAAACGCCGTTTTGATGCATTGACGATGAGAATTGAAGAAAGCAACGCTATAAAACTCGTTTACTAGAGAAATGCAAGAAATAAACGCGTGAAAACGGTTATTTTCCGTTTAACGCATTT